AGAGGTAAGGGTGTTGATGCTGCATGTCTTCCTCGGTTTCCCATTTTACTTACTCGATGCCATGGTTCCTCCATCGCACTTTCACAAAAGGAATCATCCTGTTCCTTAACTTCTTCATTTCACTCGCCAAGATTCTGAATGGTTCCTCTTATAGGTCATGTATGAGCTGACCTCAATATGTTCTAAATGTATGATTTGTGAAGGATCGGAGGGGTATCTTCTGAGCATAAATACATGAAACACATTGTGAATGCGCTTCAACTCTGGTGGTAAAGCTAGTCTATAAGCAACTAGTCCAATTCTCTCAAGCGCCTCGTAAGGTCCTATGAAACGAGGAGTCAACTTGCCCTTGTGCCAGAAGCGGAGCACCTTCTTCTAAGGGGAAACCTTGAGGAATAAATTATCCCTAACTGCGAACTCGATGTCCTTACGCTTCAAATTTACGTAAGACATCGATCTGTCTGAAACTTCCTTGAGTCGGTTCTAAATCAATTGAACCTTCTCCTTGGTCTCTATCTTACCCTCACCGAGCTCAGTCCAACAAAGTGGAGTCCTACACTTATGTACATATAAGTCCTCGTACGGAGCCATTTGAATGCTCGAACGGAAATTGTTGTTGTAGGAAAACTCCACTAATGGCAAGTAGTCCTCCCAACTACCCTCTGGATTGATGATAGTACACCTGAGCATGTCCTCAAGAATATGGATAACTCGTTCTGACTTGTCATCTATCTGAGGATGAAAAGCTGAGCTGAAATGTAGTCGGGTGCCTAGGGACTCACGGAGAGCTTCTCAAAAGTGAGAAGTGAAACGAGGACCCCTGTCTGAAATGATGAAAGTCGATACACTGTGTAACCTCACTATCTCACGGATATACAACTGAGCTAACCTCACTAAGGTATTGTCCATCCTAACTGGGAGACAATGAGCTGATTTGGTTAGGCAGACTACTATGACCCAAACTACATCATGTCTTTATCTGGTCATTAGTAACCCAGTCACCCTGTCCCATTTCCACTAAGGAATCTGAATGGGCTGAAGCAAACCTGAGGGAACCTGGTGTTCCGCCTTAACTTGCTCACACACTACATATCTAGCGATAAACTCCCATATTTTAATAGAAATCAGCTTCATTTTTGAAAAAGGGTATAATTGTTTCCTTGGTCCCTTCAATTTTGACTGCATATTAAAACCACCATTTTTATTCATTTTTAGGCTTACCTCAACCTTAAATCCTCTTTAATTTAGGTCAAAGCTTCATACAAGCTAAGGAATTAAACCAAGGCCTATCTCGGGTTAGCCTAATACTTCTAACCTAGGATTTGGGGTACATTCTCAGTATGAAATGAGATTGCAAGAAGATGAAGCGTTTATCCATTCGAAGATTTGCCAACATCTATGAGGAGACATTATTCTACTGGTGTTGTCGACTTTGATATTTGTAGTACGGTTCGTGATCTGTTTCGTTATCGATGTACATGTGTTACTCCTGTTGTCCCCGTAGTCGACAACACTGAACTATTCAAGTTTGATGGGGATACTTCCGAAGAAGAACCATTAAGGGAGATCGACCAGACGATGACAAAGTGGGCCCCTTCAATGAAGAACTATAGGACCTTGACATATCAGAGGGAGCATTTGATGAAGACATTCCACATGATGCGCCTCCTGTTTCCTATTACCAGCCACCATCCCACTTCACAACAGTTGAGATAGAACCTTTAAACACTCTGAACTTTTCGAAATTCTAGCAGCTTGATCAATACAACGAACATGGTGATGGTGAGCTCTATCTTGGAATGACATTCATAACTCAATATGGTTGCAATTAGTAACTATAATATATGTCACTCTATTACGTTGACAGTTAAAAAAATAGTAACATACAAGTACATGGTTGAATGCGACCACAAGTCTAATGGATGTAATTAGAGGGTTCGTTTATCACACTTGAAGAGGTTGAACAACCTATGGAGGCTAACAAAATACGAACAACCTCATACATGCATCATCAGCAGGCTCTCTCAGGATCATCCAAACTTATCTGTTCACGTATTTTGTGATGCCTTCGTACCACTGGTTAAAGTAAATCCATGTATTTCAATTTCTAGTTGTATTGATACAATTACATCTCAGTACAACAACACTATTAACTACCATAAAACATGGTACGCTAAGTATCATGCTCAACAAAAAGTGTATGGTCAATGGGAAGTATCGTACATAAAGTTACAGCCATGGCTGGCCATGGCTGAAACTAATGAAAAAATACATATCGGGCATGGTCATCAAACTTGAAACTGTGCTAGTGTACAAAAATGATCATGTTGTACAAGGTGCGTGTTAATTTCACCGGCTATTTTGGACATTTTTGCAGTGTGTTAATGCATTTTGACACTACAAGTTGATGGTTCATATCGACGACACTTGCTTGTACGGAAGGTACTCACAAATAATGTTGTTGGTAGTGGAATAGGACGAAAATATGAAAACAATTCCCCTCGCATTCACAATAGTTGAAAAGGAATATATAAACTCTTGGGAATTCTTCTTCAAGTACTTGCAAAAACATGTTCTATTACAAGTTTTGTATGAGCGCTGTGGTGGGATATGTCTTATTTCTGACAGAGGCGCAAGGATCATATACGCAATCGAGCGCATGGGACCAACTTGGAAGCCTATCACCAGTATTGTTTAAGCCATATTGTCGCAAATTATGTGAAAAAAAATTAGGAACGAAGATGAATGCATAATGGTTCTTCGAATGGGTACATTTTTCAATTTATTTGGATTTAGATACATTGTCATTTATTATTTATAATTAACTGTTGCATTTTCAATGGGTAGGCCACTCGTATTCCACACACGAGGTTAGCAAGTTGTTTGAAGAACTGAGACACATGAATCAGGAAGGCTACAATTACCTTGCTAAAATCCCGATGGAGAAATGGCTTCGGTCATTTGATGGGTGCAGACGATATAGTCACATGACAACGAACTTGGCTGAGGCAATCAATTCATCACTAAAGGGAGTGCGACATTTTCCTATCACTTTCGTTGTCAAAGTGACATATTAACGGTTGGTAACTATGTTTGCAACATTGGGAATGTAAGTAGTTGAGTAGATTGCAGTTGGTCACAGAATTAACCTAGACCTCAAACGAAAATTGAAAACCTTTCTACAACACTCAAACGCGATGCGTTTCTCGCGAACAAAATCAATTATGTGTTTCAAAATATTCCAAGCCAATGGAAGGCAAACATTACAACACATACGTCGTCAATCTACGTGACAGAACATGCAATTGTGAAGTATTCCAAACATTCAAATATTTGTGTGCGTATGTCATTGCCGCTTGTTCTTCTGTATTGATTGACTACGTGCAACTCGTTTATCACGTGTACTTACTGGAAACCATATTCAATGTATACCGGTACGAGTTTTCTCCGATTGGAAATGAAAGGGATCCTGATGCGGTTGATGATGAACCTATAATACGTCCAGATTTCATACTATAACGCCAAAAAAGGGGCCCTCCACGCTCAACGAGAATTTAGAGTGACAAAGTTTGGTCGACCATCGAGAAAGAACCAGACAACCGAAGCTTTGTAGTATTTGTAGGAATCCTAGGCACTCAAAAAAACAAATGTCCTAATCGATCACACCCTAATCTCGATTAGTTTGTTAGCATCTTCATTTGAAAAAACAAGCTTTACAACTATTTTTAATGCGAATTTTACCCCAATTGTAATGTCTCGTATGTGCTGATATTACTCTCAATTGAGAAATAAGTTACATTACCACACTTGTACTCTTATAAATTATACAATTTTTCATATTAACAACCAGGAAAAAAACCTCGAATATGCCTACCAAACCATTTTAGCATTACCTTCATGCACAAAACAAGCTTTGGAACCATTTTCAACGTGATTTTTAGCCCGCCTACAATATCTCGTATGTTTTTATATTAGACTCAGCATAAAGATAAATTCTAATACTACGCGAAGAATCTTATAAATTACAAAAATTTCAAGATTAAATACTTGAACATGCCTATAAGCACTTGTGGTTTGCTGGAAAAACAATATGCCTTGCTTCTTGGAAGACGTGAGGTACATTGAATACTTTTCTTAATAAATTTCTCGAGGCGGTTCAATATCTTGTGGACCTTGCGTTCTGGGAAACGTGAGGTATTAAATAAACATATTAAATTGGGTAATCTGAAAAGTGCATGGTACCTCGCATCCTTTGAAATGCGAGACACGTTCACGTGCTAGGTAGAATGCGAGTTAGTCTTACGTGTGCACAAAGGGGGTTATTTTTCTAACAAATATGCTATGGAGTTATTCAAAAAAATAATTTATAGGGGTTTTTAATTTAATAATGTCCTTTAGGTGTCTACTGTTAAAAAAACTCGTTAAGTGACATGTGTCACGCCCATATTTTAAAAAGAAATATTTTTAAAAAATATTTTATTTTTTAAAAGAATATAAACGTTACACGTGTGACTTAATGTTTTTTTTAACGGTAGACACCTAAAAATGTAACGGAGAAAATTTTAGGCACCTATTTTAGTGAAAAAATTCTTTAGGCACCAAAATATTTTTCGAAGCATTCTTTAGACACTTATTTTTGTATTAAGCCTATTTTTTTCGAATTGCTCGAGAACATTTTGAGTCAAGTATCATATAATTTATTTCGGCTTGTTGAACTTAAGTCAAGTTTGAGCTCGAATCCATTCAATTCAAGCGTTAATCAAGATTTGACTAAATCAAACTCGAATAATTTATGATCTATCTCATCTCACTTAGACGTATCACTGCTTTATGTAAAGTGCAAATTTTCCAGTTCAATTTACCAGAACAGTAAACATAGAATCAGGAACAATAAATTTTCTGAAACCTTTCAAATCATTAAAAAAGAATTAAGATTTGATCCTTAACGTGGAAATGGTCTGTTCAACATTCCTGATTAACAATCAAGTTTAACACACTTCTACCAAAAAAAAAACTGCTTAAAAAATGAGTTCAGTTTCAATGGTATAGCATAATAAGTTCACTGAGACTGAGGGTTAATCCCATCCATCTATAAGGTGCAACTATTTACATGCACGCACGCTGATAAGACATATAGAGAAATCGTGTCTTCAAGCAGCAGCTGGCATTGAGGTCGAAAGGACCACATAGGACAAATTTTGGAGTCCATCCTGGATTTTGCTCACAGCAATAGCCTGATCACTTCGGAGATGTTCGGAGAAGAAACTAGCTTTCTCCTGGATTGATGCCTTTGAAAGCGCTTCATGTGAATCTGCATTAACACTCTTAATGGCTGCTACATAAGCTTCAGCTACATCAGATATGCCTGAAGAACATATTTAAAAGATAATCATCCTCGTTTATCAGCTCTCACAGGTACCGGCATGAAGATATGTGATACAACTGATAAGAAAGGAGTACAAGGAAACTAACCTGTGATAAAGCTGCTGGTTACAGCTTCCACATTTCCAGTCATAGATTGTGCCTTTAGTCTGATTAGTTTAGCCTTCTCAACGGAATCTTCAGGCCATTCGATATTCATCGTATCGCTGTCAGCATCTTCATCTTGAACTCTGTTAGAACTAGATATGACAGATTTACCCAGCAGCAGGAGATGAGACATTGCTAAACAGCACATTTCTGAAAGCCTCTGCATGGACACGCATAGTGATTTTATATTCATCAAGGTACACAAAATAAATATCATATCCCAAAAAAAAAAACCATTAAAGTGTTCAAAAGAATTTGAAAATATCTCAATACATGGACACCCTCCGAGTGCAGTGACTCTAGCCTTCCAGCGGTTCTTTGAATTATATCGCTAACGACCAATCCTGCCAATGCATTTGTGAACCTGAAAAGGTGGAATTAACAATAGAGGCATCAATCAGAAATAATACTTACTTATCAGAAGAAGAAAAAAAGTTTACAACACTATAAAATGTGTTGATAGTTCTGAACATGTCAGTATCGCTGTATACCCGTTCAGAGTTCATACTGTATCAAGAAACCCTACACACTTGTGACCATGTATATAAAATAAAAAATGTTACGTGCAAATTCATCGTGTATCATAAAGCATATGCATGACTCATATGAGGATGAAAATGAAGTTAAGCACAGGTTACTGAGCATGTGGAAACAAATGAAATCAACTCAGTTAAAGGAAATTCAAATTTCATAATTGGAACTGGATGACCTCCTGAATGAAAGCCAAAATAGAAGATATCTATAAGTAGAACAGAAAATCAGAGAACACGGATTACATAGCAAAGGTAAAGTAAAAAAAAAACTGCGTTCAGCAATTTACCCGGCAGCCATATCAGCAGCCTTGCTGACACTTGAATCATGTAAAATTTTCATTTCATCATGACTGCCCTCTGTTCCAGTTTCTATTTTCTTTCCTTTGGCCAACTCTGGACCAGTTCCATCCATTTCAGCATCTAAACTAAAAATTTGTTGGATTTGTTTAAGCTTTCCCTCATAGACAGATTTCTGTTCGGATGACAATTTTGTTTTCCTCCGATTAAATAGAAGGGCATAGTGGCTGGACAATGCCTCCAGTTCCTGTAAGCAATATAGTTCAGCAATTTGAAAGATAAAAATCATTACAATCATGAATATCAACTTCAAGGATAAAAAGTTAACCTCCAACTGCTCTGGACCTCCATATATGTAGAAGCATCGATCAAAGCTAACTTCCTCTAACGATTGATCCTCATCAGATGGCTGTTCAGTGCCCTCTGCATTGTTTTCAACCTCTATACCAGTTTCATTGATCAGTAGATCCATAGTTTCCTTTCCCACATATTCAAGAACTTGCATTCCCTTTGTTGTAAAGGCTCTTCCACTCTGTAAAATAAATACGAGAAATAAGAGATCATTGCGACATTACCAAACAGAAAAACAAGGACTGCACAATGACAAACCTCAATTAATGATGGTGGAACTGAACCAGCGGGTAAACCTCCTTGCTGAATAGAATCAGCAATGCTTACAGCAGAATACTCAAGCCTAGAAAATAAAAGAGAAAACAGAGACATATTAGTGGAAAAATGTTTTATGAGTATATGATATCTATTTCTTGAATTCGATGACAACAATAGTTGAATGCTACAACATAGGACAAAATACGGGGAAATTATACAAAGAAGCACAAAATCAAGCATCAGCATGCAGTGCTCAGTTGTTTATCTTGGCATGAAAAGCCACAATTATAAAAGTAAGAATTTAACTAGACACGACACTTGAATATTCTAAATGCCGGGAAAATTCTATTCAATCTAACACGGAATAGAAGTGGTTAATGTCTTGAACAGAGTCATGTCACGGCTTCTGCAGATGAGAAGGAAGATCCAATATGCAAGATATTCCATGATTATAGAACTCTGGAGCCATTGGTTCAGAAATTAAAAATATTCACACTGAATGACTTCCAAAATATTTTTGGAGAAGCCTTGAAATTATCAAGAATGAGTCATTTTTCTCTAGTTTTTTTTTCTGTTAGCTCCAGGGAATCAACTAATTATTTAAAAAAAATGTATTGAAAGAAACGAAACATACTTCTGAACAAAATCGGTACCCCCTTTCAGTGCACTCCCTAGTGCCTGCCACGCACCAGAAGCAAAATTCTCCACAGAGTTGTCAAAAGCCTTCAAACCCTGTGAACAGTGAAAGTAGGGGAAAAACAAATCAAATATCAAAATATTGATTCTTGTCCATCACAATGATATGGTGCAACTGACATTACACATTTGTGTGTCTGCATAAACAAAGCCCAAAAATGACTATCATTGTTCCAGATCCAGAACATTGCAGCTAATACTAGAACACAGTATCGAAATGGATAAAAGAATTGCCTGGCCAAGGAAAGAATCGCCACTTGCATTCTCTAACTTATCCAGAGCAGACTTTCTTAGCTTGTCATTCTCATCTTCACTTTCCTTTTCAATTGGAGATTCTTCTTCCTTAGAAGATTCAGAGTCCTCAGCAATTTGAATATCTGCAAGGCTTTTTGCCGCCTTTTCTGCAACCACAGAAGCCTGCATCCATAAAGTAATGCTTAAAAAGATTGAAAACAGCTTGCTCTGATCATTACAAGAGAAGCTACTGCATATAACTCCTATAATATCAGTTCAAGTTGTTCTGAATATTCCTTGATCATAAAGATAATTCTCATATTTCACTCCCTAAATCCTACATACAAAACAAAACTCATAATACATAAACTGAAAGTCTTAAGAGCGCAGTGAAATATGAAAATTATTGACCTGAAGGGGGCACCTTTTGATCTTTATATTATTATACCATATTTCCTTTCAGCACTTCCAGCTTCAGTAAAGATATAATGGTAATAGTTGGCATTGGAAAAACAAAATGCAAGTGTTCCCTCAAAACCAAATAGGAAAGTAAATACTGAAATCAGATTTCTTAATCAAAATGAACTAGTTGCAACTTTGACAATGTTCGTTTTCAAATGATGGGATGGACCAATTTCACCAATAATAGTGAACAGAGTTCTTCCTATGAACCTAAGTTCAGTAATAATGACAGCATCTAGTATCTATGTGAAACATGGTGATATTTCTACAACCAGTAGGTCTAACATAATGAATGAACGCCTGTAATAGCAACTTGGAAGGTCCTCAAACAGTGAACTACATCTTACACAACATGTATTAAAAGCAAATCACAAAAGGCTCCACCTAGAATGAAAAAAATAAAAGTTCATCGTAGAAAAAATAACACATATTTCCTTTCACATAATAAAATTTGGTTAAGCACATAATAATTATGTTATTAACACTAGTTCGTGAAAAAGGTGCGGCAAGTAAGTACCAAGTAATTGTACTGTAATTATTATTATTATTATTTTTTTTGTTCTGTAATGAGTAATAACCACATTCAACATATACAAGCCCACCACCTAGGCTCTAAATTTTCATACAAAATTATGTCTTGGAAGAGTGAGCTTCAATTTTCCCTTCTTACACTTCCAATGCTTCACATATAAAACATAAAGGTTTAATTCATCAAAAAAAAATCTCAAACATCTAAATCCATAGTTAATAAAGCCTCCACAGTATCAAAAACCTACTGAATTAATCAACAAAGTGAATCTCACTTCAAAATGGGTAATTGAAAAAAAATATCAAAACTACAAATTGCACTTCCAGATCTGAATTGACTCAAACCCAAATATCTAAACAAAATCAAATAAACAATCTTTAATAGGAACACGAAAACCCATACAAGCATATACATAAACAAATATTAAGGGATATAAAAATCAAGCCTACATTGCGAGAGATCTCAGCGGCAACAGTGGCAACCTTTTGAAGATCTGAGAGAACAGAGAAAGCAGAGAAACCCCAACCGCCCCATCCTCCTCCATTAGTTGGTGCTGTAATTGACGCCCGTTGCTCCTCCGCCTTGGGTTCTTCTTCATTTCCCTGGTCTTCCTTTTCTGAAGATACCATTTGTTGTGGCGGTGGGTTCTTGGCATCTTCCATTTTTCCTTTTCCGTAGCAAAAGGGGGAAAAAGAACAGATTAGAATTTCGTATACGGAAACAAAGAACCTACAAAGAAATGGTGATTTTCTGGAATTGAAGGAGATCTGTTTAAGGATAGTTGGAGCTTCAAGTTGGTTGAGAGTCGAGGGGTATGGCGGCTGTTTTCAGTCGAAAATTGACCTCGAAACCGTGAACTCAACGTGCGTTTGAAGGCAATCGAATCGACTTTCAAACAATAAGCAATCTAACCGCTGGCGCTTTTGTGGTTTTCAGGTTTTGTTGCAACGATTGGGCCAGACCAAACCTATTATATTTCCATCCTCAACCCATTGGGTTTTTAGTTTTAGATTTATTAGTATGAATAGTCCTCAAAGAATTCTGAAAACCCATTCATATTTAAAAAATATATATATTTCGATTTTTTTTTTTTTTTTGTAGAATAAGTACTTTACTTGAATTCTTTTTCGGTGACTGGAATTCTGAGAATTTGAATAGTACTTTATTGGTAAGACACTTGAACATTCATGAGCTTGAGATTTCCAGTGAATGAATGATTAGAAGTGAGAATTAAACTGGATGATATTTTTAGTGGAGGGCAAAAACTTCCAAATGAAAAAAAGGAAACAAACTAAAAATAAAGTAATGAATAAATAGTAATAATAATAATAATAATGATGGCGACAATAGTGACGACAGCTAATGGCAACAGGAGGTGATCAAGTGACAATCAATGATGGGAGATTTTAACTAAATTCAAGGGTCAAATTGATATTATATCTAAAGTTAATGATCAAAATAAAAACAAATTAAGGGTTAAATTAGAAATTAATCCCTTTTGACTGTCGTGCCATTGAATTAAACAAACATACATGACTAAAATTAAATAAATTAATAACGTAAATGATCAAAGCTTAACTTCTTTTTAATTTAGTTAATAAGAGTATAAATACATAAAAAGGAAAGTGATTACTTCAGTAGTTTACCCTTAATTGTATTGCAAGGGATTTGCAAAATCAAACGCACAAAATACCAGTGAAGTGAGCCATCAACACTACTAAGATTAAGAATATATAATTTTTGGCAGCAATGAACAAAATTAATCTGTTAATACAAGTAAACTTTTAAACAAAATGACATTTTACTTTTTACAAAGCTGATGCATTAAGATAGATTAAACAATTACAAATGTAGATATTCAAAACTCTCAACTTAAAAGACACTTCCAGTTCTGGAAAATGGCCATACGAAGGGCTTAAATCCCAGATACAAGAACAGTCGATTTGCTGCTTGAAAACCCTATATTACAAACTCCCCATCTCATTTTATCTACAATGAAGCTAGTATATGGATAATAACAATAAGCATCCATCAATCGGTCTCGTGGTCAGGTGCAGGAGAGTACCAGGCAGGAAATGTGCCCTTAGTTCTAAGCATTCTGGTAAAGGGGGAATCAGGCATTCTTCCTCTCTCTTCCTCCTCTAATTCTTCTGCAGATTTTGGCAACCCATCGGGGATATGCAAGAATCTCTTACCTTCATTTTCGGTAACCAACGGCTTAGCCATATTTGAAAATCCATTGTTGTTTCCCTTGCGGATGGATGCAATTCCATGTAAGAGTCCGATCAATGACTTGACACCCCCTGCTTGAATAATTATCTTCTCTAAATCTTCTTTCGGTGTATCTTTCTGTCATGTATTACAAAACTCATACAAGTTAAATATCCATGTAACAAACATGTTCAACACATTTTCACAATCCAGTTTAAGAATACCATTCTCCAAGCATGATCCGTAAACAAGAAAGAACTACGTAAAAATTAAATATCCAACGTCAGGCATAGTATCTAATACTCTGAAAAAGTGAAACATGTGACTGTCTTAAAACTTTTCACTGCTAGAGTGCTAGTGAATCAAAGAGGAACTCTCAATTATGGCATAAAAATATACCAGAGTTCATTAATTATTCTTTTCTTACTTCGATTTATTTACTATGAAATTGAACCAAAATTAGCTAAACTAAGAAATAAACAAATCTATCTAAATTGCCATTATTCATGATCTAATCAGAATGTTAGAAGTGTTACAAATTATTATGGATTAAAAAGCTTTACAAATTAGTTTAAACTGTTCTTAGATAGTACTTATTTTGTAAAAGTAAAATTAATTTAACGAAGCCCTAACAGTGGAGGTGAGCAGAACTCAACGAGACTAAAAAAAATCAATCTTTTCGACTCGACTTGAATTGACTCGAATTTTTATTTATTTCGAATCAAGTTATAAAATAAAGCTTGAATATCTTAATAACTTGGAATGTTTAATAATTAGTGAATTAGTTGAAATATATGTGAATGGTATACTTTCATGAAAATTATTTAAATTAGAATCAAATAGTATTATAAATATTTAAAATAAAATTTAAATATAAAAACAATTCAATTCAACTCAACTCAAAACCTTTTAAATAAAGATTTTATTATAAAATAGGATTAATCGCCTCGAATAACTCAGATTTTTTTTTACTCTAATCAATCGAAAGCTAGCACTATAGTCTACAGTTTCTCTTATTTTCTTTCTTCTAGACTTCAATTTCCTTATTATCCAAACAGGTCTAATACCTTAAAATTTTAAATCTATAAAAAACTTACCTCAAGATCTTTCAACTCGAAATAAGCTCTCCAGCAACTATAAGAATCGTCTCCTTCAAGTGTGGAACAGTAATCTAAAAAAAACACAAAAATAAATTCAAAATCACTTTGATTTAATTTTTAAATTTAAAGTTATACACAACTTATTTACTAACCGGCGAGTTGGTTCTCGGACTTCTCAATCAGGGGAGGCTCTTTGACGGCCCGCTCGAATTTCGTTCTGCTAAAAGGTTCGAGCTTCGGTATGTAGGCGTCGCTGCTGGAAGAAGAGCGAATCGTGGAAGCGAATCGAGTTTTGGACGGCGGCGATAATCCCGCGCGGTGGATATCTTTAACATCACCGGGGATGGGAGATGAACAGGGACGCAATAGGATCGACTTAATCATCTTAACCAAACGGATAACATAAACTCAGATCTTTTACTTGATTGACGAATAATATAATGTGACGATGCGTTTAAATAGTTGACCCAAGTAGATAAGGATCTAAAAGATATTTTTTGCCTAAGATGGGTTCAGGATATTTTGTGTTGATATGCTTGAATATTTGGAATCCTATCTGTTGACCTTACAATATTGGTTTTGATCTTTAGATCAGAGTCGTTGGATAAAGTAGAATGATTCAGCAGCGGTTGAGCCCACCGGATTTGTTCTTTTTGGGCTTTTAAATAACTTTAGTTCGTGGTTTTGGAGGATTATCCGGATTCATATTATTTTTAAGGTTAAAATACATAGTTGGTCACTTTTGTTTTATTTATCTAAACATATAGTCATTTGATCTAAAAAAGTTAATACGTTGTCACTTTTGTTTCATTTCAAGATGTTATCACTGGGACGTTAGTTTTCGTGTGGTGGATGATGTGTCACATTAGTAAAAATGTTAATTTTAATTTGAACCTTTAAACTTTAGATAAATTATTAACATGGTCCTTTTGTAAACCCAAAATAGTTCTAGAATAAAATATCAATTAAACCATTTTTTTTATATGTTTCTTCCCCAAACCTATCTTCTCAGCCATTTCCCCTTCTTCATCTCTAAGGAAGCTGCAATAATCATGGACCCAACATTCCCTTCACCAATTGGTAATCCTGTGAGAGGCTGTTGGAAATTAGAGAGGGCAAAAGAAAGGAAACTTAAGGCCAAAAGTCCAAAACTAAGATTATTTTATGCATCCAAATACAGAATACAAAATACAATCTAGGGGCAAAATTTGAGTAAAGGAAGAGGGGTTGATATGGGTATGGTGTGTGAAGCGTAAGCAAATTTACCTTCAGCCGGGTGCGTGATGCCATCTTGAGACATAAGAAAGACAGCTCCTACAGTCCAAGACCACACCCCTGTTGTAGGCCATCCACATAAGAAAGACCCACGTCTAAATGCAGCAACGACACTCCATGACAGCAATGTAGCATCACCAACAACTCCTTTCACCGCAACAAGCATCAAAAGACCGTGTTCCAACTTGCACTTCAGCCATCACCCCTTCCTGGTAAATTATTCCTTATGAAGACAACCACCACAGTAGCACCACAACCAATTCGAAAAAAATACTTACCGCCCATATACAAGAATAAAGGAGATATAACACTTATCTCCTTTTGGACATTTCCGTGGTGACATCGAGCAGCTTTGACCCCAACACGAATTTAGCACTCACCTCTTATAACCGAAAATGTGAAGACCACTAGAATCTCCCATGCGGCGAAGCAAAATCACACTCTCACACATGGTGGTCCAGAGATGAAGCCGCGTAGAAGATAGAAGTCGAGAAGAAAACATATGGAAAAAGGGGTAAATTGATATTTTACCCCTGAATTATTTTGGATTTACAAAAAGACTCATGATTAGTAATTTATCTAAAGTTTAAGGGTTCAAATAAAAATTAAACATTTCTATTAACGTGCCACGTCATCCACCTCACAACAATTAACGTCCCAGTGACCACGTCTTATTTAAAATGAAATAAAAGTGACAAACTCTTTAGTTTAACCTATTTTTAAAGATAGATTAAATAATAATTATTAACTTATTATATTTTTGTCCACTCATCAAATTATTTTTTATAAAAATATCATTAATGTTTTTTTTTAGTCAGAATAATTAAATTTAACAATGATGTATACATGACTTAATTCAGAGAGAATGACAACTGATTTTTCAGTTTGCTTCAGGGGAGTGTAATCGAGTTACAGATAGATTAGCGCGCCTTGCTCGGGATGGGAACTTGGTTGATCGAGAGCACCTTGAGCCAACGGTGGAAGTAACGAGCTTACTTTCGGAGGATACACAGCCAACAGTGAATATAAATTTTATTTAATTCATCAACTATGATTAGAAAATCTATTTATAAGGTTAAGTTCTAAGATAATTCTAAGTTTATCTTTTATCTTTGGATCTTAATCTAAATAGATCTCTATTTACTTAATGAATTGAATCAGCGACTGAATTGATTTTTATTCAGTAGAGTTTGAATTTTAGTAGGCAGACTTTTACTCATTGGTTTTTTTTGCCCCAATAGGATAACCCGAAATAAAAAAAATTACAAAATCGAGTACATAAGGTTTTATTTTGAGATCTACGATATTTCTACGGTATATGAAACTCATCATATCGAAGTGACGAGTTTTAATAAAAAAATTTCATTAAAATATTTTACCCTTGATTTGATAAAATTTAATAAAATTTATATTTTATTCAAACTCGTCACATCAACATGACAAGTTCTATAAAAACTATAACAAATGACGTAAATATTAAAATAAATTGCTACTTGTCCTATTTTCCTAAATAATTTATCGGGGAAAAAAACTTTAGGGTGCGTTTGGTTCACGGAATGTAAGATTACCAGAGAATAAGATTAATGGGAATGTTGTATTTTGTGTTTGGTTGGTTTAGCAGGAATGTAAGATTACCGTGTTTGGTTAAAGGAATAAAAGATTATTAGAATGTATATTTGACCAAATTGTCCATATTATATACTTGTTTTTTTAATAAGCTGGAAAATATTTATATATTTTCTTTAAAAAACTTAAATTCATAAAATTTATATATATTTTTTTACATAATTGAAAATATAAAAAGGTTTAATGAAAAAGTAAAATTTTATTTTAACCCCTGAACTTCATATAAAATTTTAATTATAGATTTTTTTTATAAATCTAAAATATTTTAAGGATAAATTTGTAATTTAACATTCGTAGAATTTTTATTATTTAATGACAGAAGAATGATATTTTTTAAGAAAAAAAATTAAGGGCATTTTAGTCTAAAACGCCGGTAATCCAACAATACCTAAGGAAAGGGAGGTAATGATATTCCCGGTAATATACCTTAAAAATCTACTATTGGTAATAAAATATTACCGGAAATGAGATTCCTGACCAACCAAACATGGGAATGTATATTTCATTCCCATGAGAATATATATTCCATTCCTATGAGAATCCTACATTCCTTGATCCAAACACCCCTTAGTCGTTTCTATAGTTGATTGTATCTCATGCGAATGGTTATGGACTACAAAAAGATCCAACTATCTTTTCAGAGAAGACAGTGCTGGAATTCCATTATAACAGGTATTTAAAATGCTTATAGTTTGTAGTCTACGGGCACCCGTCTGATCCTTCCTTTATATATTTGTAACGGTTTAGTTCTAAATCTTGGCAAATGTGATTTAAGCTTAAAATGAAATCTTTGTTCTACACCAAATTTTCCCAATGTTAGCACCCCAATTGTATTTGACATATTTTTTTTAATAGTATGAGGTGATTACAAAATAGTATCTGCTCAGAATTTTCTTAACCTATTGGCAACGCACACATCTTTTAAGTACAATTGTTCGAATCTAAAACATCTAGAGAGAATAACTTTCATTTTTACCATTGAGACTGACTTTGTATTTAACATAATTTTATAAATATAAAATTTTAATAAAAAATTAACAAAATTTGATATAGCTTAATGGTTGGACATTAAATCTCTATGCATGAGGTCCAAGGTCCTGGTGATACTTTCATCGAAAAAATTAATCTGATGACTAAAATAGAAAAATATTATTTGATAACTATTGATATATTTTATCCTGTTTTTTAGCAACGGGAAAGACAAGCCAATTATTAAAGCAATAAACAAAACAAAACGGTCCAGCTATAACGCAATAACGACAAACAATTAAAGAAAAGTGGAAACTAAATGATAAACATAGCCAAAAAAAATCAAAAGAAAATATGGTTTTCCATCTTCTTGCCATGTTTCAGGAAAACTACGTTGATCCACTCCGACAAGAAAGTTTGAAAAAAACATAGAGCTTAATGAGCACGAAAACAACACAAGGGGCTACGGAGGGTCGATGCAACACCTGTCCTCCGCAACATGCACTTCCACACACCCACTCGCCTCCTCGACCAAACATTTGTCCTCCGAATCCATATTCTGATACCAAGCTTGTGAGCGGTCATATTATCTTCTCTCGGTATGTAGCTAAACGAAGGTGCATGAAATGATCAGGCTCGACTTTTACCTTCCCAAATCAACACGCTTATCATGGAGAGGTCATTAATCGGTGAAGTTAGCTTATCAATGACGGTTTATGAGTCACCTTCAAAGATTATGTTTCGCAAACCCAGATCAATTACAAAATCAATTGCATGCACTACAGCAACGGCCTCCGCATGGAAAGCCGAGATAACCCTTTTCATCTCTATTCTACATGCTCCTAAAATGAGCCCCTCTCTGTGAATTATGCAAAATCTTACAATTTAAGATCGAATCAGCATGTGACACATGGTATTGAAACATATTAGATAACTTGAAATCATGCAACAATAGATACGGAGAATAAATATCGTAACATACAACCAGGGGTAAAATGGTCATTTAACACTCAAGGAATTCAAGGCCAATTAGTTAAATTGAGTTTAAAGTATCATATTATTAGTCTTCAATTATCATTAATACACAAAATTTCAAGCCATTCAGACAGCAAACGTATACTTAATTAAACATACAAGCCTAGGGACTAAAACGTAAACAATTCAAAAGTTGCACACAATTAGAAAACACACAATTGAAGTTCCCATTATGAAATTACGAATATTTAAAGAGTGATAAAAACAAGTCCCAAAAAAAATTCGAATTACCGTCTAAGATTAATTAGGAGTTCATTTTATGGACCATTTTGAACTCACACAACATTCGAGGAACATACTGGAACTAAGGAACACTTCAGGCCTTTAATGAAAGCAATTCCATCTTTTTCCATTAGGCTCAACAACAAAGGGATCGATCCTTATTCACGGGGATCAATCTTATGTTGGACAATAAGTTTGGGATCGATCCTTTAAGCCAAAGGATCGATCTTTTTTGAAAAGGGATCGATCTTTCCCCTTAAAGGATCGATTCTTTTGCTGGAAAAGTGCATAATTCTCAAGAACATGCACTCCTAAGTT